TCTACATAAGAAAATGATCCAACTTTTCTTTCACTTGAGATGAAAATAAATCTTCCAAATGAACTTGAAGTATACATTAAAATTAAGATTATAGTTTAATAATGAAAAAATGAAGTTTTGCATAACGCATCATTTATAAGCAATACCATGCACTTTTTTTATTGACCTAAAAAATCTTAAATATTCCGAGCTACAAAATTTCATCAAGTATTAACAATGTTTCAGTGGGTACCACTAAAATTTAACACTATAAAAATACGTTACATCAAATCCACATTTTTATTAAGCGATATTAAGGCGCAATTTTTTATACAGATAGCTTTAGACCATCTAAAATGGTTGGATTTAATTAGAAAATTTAATCGAAAGCAAGAACGTATTGGTTTTCACAGCACGGCTATTGTAAGTGAACGGCAGATGGACACGTGTGACGTCAGTTCGTGAATAATCACGTGACTCCCCGTTTCAGGCGAAAACGAAAGTAAGCGTTTTTTGATTTAAAATAACTAAATAAATAGCCTTCTTAGAAAAGTAATAAAATGTTTTCTGGGAGTTTTGAGGGATTCTGAATGCATTAAAATTAAAAAAAAATTTGACTGTAATTGTCCATTGTCATGTCTGTTATGTTGCGGACATGACCAATTTAAAAATTCTTTAAAAAAATATCAAACAAAAAAATAATATTTTTTTAAAAATCATAATAATATAACACTGCAAATAGTCGAAAGAAATCCAATTTTTTAAAAAATAAATCGTTTAACTGCTTTGTTTTAATATAACTTTAAAAAAATCATTAAAGTAAACATGTTCTCTCATATTTAAATACCAAATGTAAAATTTACATTTTTTCAGTTATTAATTATGTAAATACAATATATCTCTTAAAATATCATGTTTAATTACAAATATTATATGCGAAACTTTTAAACTCAATTTTTCACATTTTATACAAATCACATTTTATACAAAACTACTAATCTTCTGCTATGATGAAAAATGTTTTTGGAGGAAAATTTTTTTTTTTCGAAACCAACCGTCATTATGTGCATTCTCAAGATTCTTCTTTTATTTTTAATCGTTTCAGGAGTGTTTCCAATTGCATGTCCGAATTAAAGAACTTGAACCTTCTGCCTCAAGAGTATTGGCATGTTAGATTTTATTTTAATCCACTTTAGTTACTCAATTTTAGTTATCCTTCATTATGAAAAATTATTGTTTTATAACTTCGGATAATACTATGATTATCATTCAGATATTATGATTATTTATTACGAACAAAACGTTTTTTTTACATTTGACATTTATTAACAAAACAATACTTTTGAATTGAATAAACTCTGATTCTTCAGAAGAGCGGTATCATTTGCTTGATATGGAATCATATCTGCTTTCATTAAAAATCATTTGCTTTTATATAAAAATGAAAGAAGTTTGTTTATTAATCTAACCACACTATTATTTATTACTAATGGCAGACAAATATTTTATGAAGCGTTCTTTTTTTTAAAAGTGATAAATTTCTGATTCCACTTTGTTTTCTGCACCGTGCACAATAAATTTTATACTGATTAATTCAGTTTTTATTCACGAATTTGAAGATAACGCTTTTTTTTTTTTTAAAAAATTCAGTTGATCATAAAATATTCTGCCTTGTGCTTGGTTTTAATTAATATGTTAGCATTGCTTTAACTATCATTTCCGTTTTGTTAATTTTCAAGTGTTGTTTTTATTTAATATGATTAATAAGTTTTCCTTGTATTTTATTGTTTTCTTTTTTCCTTATAAATAGATAGAAAAAAATTTATGTTTTTTTAATCATTGGCTTTCTCTTATATTAGTTAGTTTGGTGATTTTAATTAATCTTCAAAAAATAAATATGAGATTTTTGTAATTTTTAAACTTTTCTAGTCTAAATTTGTAAATGTTTTTATTTTTCTATCATAATTTTTTTCTTTTTAATTTTAGGTGCACATCTTTTCTCTTGTTTCCCTTACTTTAAAATGTGTTACTCTTTTTTATTGTAATTTGAGTTCGATAAAACATTGATGATTGACACTTTTTAGTCAATTCAGAAATCTGGGATAGCAATGGTCCCGAGCATCCCGCGTAATTGGTTCTTTACTGTATAAGAATTCATTCAACGATGAAGAATGCAAATGTAAAACAGATACTTTAAAAAAGCTATTCCCTTGTTATTGAAAAACAAATATAACGATTCTAAGAACTTTATTCATAGAAAAATATAAAAAATTATCTATTTCATGTGTTTAAACTTATATACTTCGGCTTTAAAAGATTTATATTCAATGAATTAAATTAGGTTTTGAGAATATTAATTAATAACACTGATAAGTTTTATGAATATTAATTAATAAGTTTTAAAAAACTGTAACTGCAAAAAAATATAAACAAAATTACAAAAAGTTCACAAAATATTCATGGATTACTTAACTTTTTTAAAATTCTTATAATGTAATAAAATTGTTAAAAATACTGAGAGTTTTAAATACCTTGCGTGAATGTGTAGCAAAAAAAATAGTGAAAGCAATATGAAATTACAATAAAATTAGTACAAATAAAGTGTATCAAATTAATTAAATGGGCAATTAAAAACAAAATTAATTATAATTAATTGAATTTACAATTAAAAATTAAAAATGTTAGCATAAATATTTTGAATATAATGGAATTTTACCATGATCAAGTCTTAGCAATAATAATCAATAAAGCAATCAAACCACAAAGATTAATGATGGAATTGGTTTAAAACAAAGAAATAAAATTTTTTACTCAGATCAATGCAAAATTAGAAATTACCAATATAATATCACATTAATTAAAAAAAAAAATTTTTTTTGGTGGAATTATATTTTCATTTATTATTTGAATATCAGATTATATTTATTCAAATATACAGTAAATAACTAAATATCATGCTATGCTTTTAACAATTTACTCCCATTGTTGAAATTTTAAAAGTTTTTGACATTAAAAAATTTCAAAAACAGCAAATTTCCATTATATTCACACATTCCCTCTATAATAAAAATTGTAAAATCGCTTACTTCCAGTATAGTCTTAAATTACAACATTAATCATTTTTCTAATGCGCAGAATACACTGATATGTGAAAACTAAGGCAGTGATTTTTTTCTAAAAATTCCTGCTGGTTTTTAGTTTTATTCATTTAAACATTTCATTTTTACTATTATCTATTTAAACATTTCATAAACTAAAACATGTCAAGAGAAACAAATTTACACTATAATATAAATATTGAAACATGTCTCAAAACAAAATCTTACACAATACGCTTCATTAACATCAGCTCTGTAAAGATAAATTATTTACATTACAATTGCACATTTGACATCATTTCGTTTACACATTCATCCTACTTTTTCTAATAACTCAAGGTATTGTAAAATTTCATTCAGCAAAAAAATAAAAATTTGAGCTACAAACAACTAAAAATTTGCGAACTTATAATCATTATCACAGATTTATAAGAAGATATTAAAACTAAAACTCAGTGGCACGACAGCCCAAAATGGCCACCAAGGCCTACTGTGCCCATCTCAGTTTTCTTGACCTTGGGCTCTGGGGTGCAGGAGCAGATGTTCCAGTCAGGTGGTCAACCGAACGCGAAACCCCCTGTGTTTAGTTCCCAAGCATGCTTGGTACTCAATTATCGACCCACTGAAGAGATGAAAGGCTGAGTCTACCTTGCCCGGCCCGAGGATCGTACAAGGGACCTGTGGCACGACAGCGCGAAGCGCTGCCGCTCAGCCACCGGGCGTCAAGAAGATATTAAAGCATGGTTTAATTACAGCCCCGTGGCAAAATCCCAGCAATGTGGCGACATTATCGCAGAACATTACAGAGTTCTTGCAGAAAGATTTTTCTTTTGCAAGGTAAAAAAACAATTACTTTTCTTTTCTTCTCTTCAGAAATTTACCCCTAATATTTAAATCATGCATTTAGATAATCACTTTTTGAGGAGCTCAATTTATGCCGATAGTATCGTATACGATGTTATGTTTTGATAGTATTTTCGGCAGTTATTGATAATGATTTTCACGTGGTTTTCAAATATCTATCCTGCTGCATTAGAAAAAGTTTGAAAAATGTGAAGCGTGCATTGTAGTATTTACTTTTTAAGACAATAATTCTATCGAATTTTTGACAGTTATTGCTATTGATTTCTTCATAGTTTTTAAAAGATTATATGTTTCCTACGATATTATTTATTACAACAACTTAATCTCCAAACAAAACATGCATTTGAGGAGTCCAATTCGCGTGATTTCGTCGTCGATCCATTTCCCGGCAATTACTACTGCTGATTGCATAATTTTTTTTTCTTAATGAGATGATTATTTACAAAATGCGAAGAATGAATTAATTTGTGCGTTTCCCTCCGCAACACAATGCTATATATAATAAAGAGAAATTACACAGGCATGTAATAAAGAGAAATCTCCTGAACTTTCGAAAATTTAGTATTCAGCAACCTCAAAAAAGCACTTTGGGGTTATATAACCAGCAAATACACAAATTTTTAATCTTTTACCTTATAAAAAGTTTTAAAGAACTAGTTTTTGAATCAACATATTTTTCAATATAATATTTCTGACGTTTATATATTTATAGATATTAACATATTGGCTCTCTAAAGCACGTTATTTTATTACTTTTTTTCCAATTATATAATTCATTTCAAACGTTATAAAACAGTTGCTATTAACTTTAACAAATCATTGGTGAACAAACTTTAAGAAATGTACACCAGCCAAAATTTCTTTAATTCAATCACACTATTTATAAATAATATGTTTTTGAAATCCAACCTTTTACAAATTTTGATCTCAGAACATAAACTAGACAACAACATGCATGTGCAATATATAAAACAAATATAATCATATAATAACGAATGAGACTGCATATATAAAGTCAACGTATAAAGTTAAGAATGCAAAATATAAGAAGATAATTACAAAATTTAGAATGTATTTTCGCTTAACATTTACAGATCCTTAAGATTTACAGTATTTACAATGTAGTCCTCAGAATTTAACTCAGTAAATATAACTTTGAACAAATTTAAGTTAGTCTGAAACTGCAAGCAACACTTTCTTTATTTTTCAGCAAGTTTCATAACAAACAGTTTAAACAACCATACTTTTATTTTGTGGAGAGTACATAGCGACCACAAAACAAACGAAAGTACAGAACGAACCAGTTCAACTATAATAGTTCTAAAAAGTGACACACTATGGCGATACCAGTAAGAAAAGACTTTTAGGGTTATAAAAAATGCTGGCATTCAAGACAGTGCATTGGTTGAAATGGAAATTGGTAACTGGATGGAGTGAGCTTAGCGTTGTTTTTAACTTATATTCTGAATTAATTTAGAATATTACATATGTTTTTCGAAAGATAGTGTACTAAACTTTAATTTATGATGCAGTTTTAATTGGCGATCGAAATGGACTGTAGGTGGCGTAGAACAGAACTCTATACCTATGGCAACACTTCACATGCTTTCCCCATTAGCGTGTGGAAAGTCATAGAGGAAGGAAGTACATTAGTTTCTCTCTTGATTTTCATATAGATTAAAATCTTTTAAGTTGGAAGACTATATGGAACTGAAAACTACATTAAACATAGTTCTAAAGAAAAGTATCACGGAAATTTTAAAAAGTATTTTTATTAAATAAAAAGGAAAAATATTAAGAAAAGGGAAAATATCGTAGTACATTCCTATACAACTGAAAAGAGGAGGAGAGGGAAGGGAGAAGGGCTAAAGGCATGAAACCGGTCTCTCCCCAGATGGCGTATTCGAGTGTTGCGATCGCGAATGT